AAGGCATTCACAAAGAGGTTGAAATTTCTCATACTTGTAGTCACTCTCTGTCTAGGACTGTTGGTTTCCTCTGTGAACCTGATTACATTGAAATCCCCTCTCACACACCAAGGTCCTTCACACAACCCCCTTATATCACTCAACTCTTCCCACAACTTCTTCCTCTGCCTGTAATCATTGGGGCCGTATACATTTGTTAGGACCCATTCAAATCCATCTTCCACCTACCTAAAGTTCAATGAAATTGAGTGGTCGTCTATTAATTCCTCCAATCCTACCATCACATCTTCCTTCCACAATGTTACTATCCCTCCTGAGGATCCCCAAGATGGAGCCGCTGCCCACTTAATCCCCCTAGACCTCCATACACTCCTTGCCCATCTTCTGTCAAAATCCATTCTTTTAGACTCCTGAAAAAACACCATACCCGGTTAAACTTTTTAATCACTTCTCTGATCGTTGCTCTTTTCCTTGCACTCCCCAGCCCCTTGCATTCCAGATCAAAATTCTCATTTCAACCTAAACACTCGACCCATACTACGTCTGAACCCTATTTGACCCCTTTTTCTCTTATCCCCCTTCACCCCAAACTTCTTATCCCCCTCAACATCCCTTCTCAATCTCTCAACTTCACTCAATTTCCTCTTTCTTGTCTTATTTTCCTCTTTTTTTTTTTTCCGTAAAAAGGCTTTTAAATCATTTGGGTCCTTTAGTTTACACCCCAACCTGCTTACAAATTCTGTTAGTCTTTTTCACTATTGTCCCCTTTCTCCATTTTTCCGGGCTCTCCTCTCCTATTCATCTCCTCAATCCTTTGCCCTCTCTTTCTGCTGCTTTCCTCTTCCTTTTTATCCATATCCTCCCTCTGCAGTTCATTATTTTCAAATTCACTCATTATTCTTTCAATGATTTCCCAAATCTTTTTGTTCCTACACGGTTCCTTTTCTGATTCCTCCCCTTTCTTCTCCTCCTGTAAACTCATTGTGGCTACTTGTACATGGGACTCTGACTCTAGGATGGGAAGGGAATTTGGAACAAAAGACACAGCACTCATCAGTAACAAAAAACTGAATTGACAGGGTTTAAGGAGTTACCTGAGTTCATTTGTGGGTTCAGAGGAGGAAGCAGATTATGACAGTTGTCAATCCCTGTATTGGGTTTTGGGAGCTTTCTGTCTCTCTGGTTTGGTGAGAAAGCATTCCTGTCACCTGGTTCACACAAGGATCTCTTCCCTCACCCTATTTCTCACCCCTCTATGGTGTATCTCTGTTTAGATTTAGGCCGACTTGAGTTACTCCCTTATGAACATCTTGCTCTGAGTTAAAACCTTGTAAGGGTTTCTCCATTCTCAGGCATAGGCTTCCGGTTCCCCCTTTCTGTAACTGCTCCGCCCTGTCAAAAGTTTCTGTTTTGTCTGTCCGAGCCTTCATAGTCGTTTTTTCCTCTTCCAGCCTATCTTCTTGAAACATTTGCTCCAAGTTTAGAGCCTCCCTGTCTTCCTCTTTATAACACCTTTCATCACCCACACTTCCTAGGCTAGACTCCTCATCCGAAATCTCCTCAATTGTGTCTTCATCCGAACTGCAATCAACCCAACCTTCGTCTTCCTCTTCACTCTCTTCTATTCGGTTCCTTGTGTACCGCGGATTTGGACGATCTGCAGCACTATGATTTGAAATCCTTTCTAGGTCCTTTCGTGAGACCCATTTCAGAGAGCTTTGGTGGCTTTCTCCTCCTTGTTTCCGCCCCTGTTGTCTCCCCTGTTCGAACGTCCCCTTTTGGGATGATGATAGATGGGAGAAAGCCTCCATGATCTCCCTCTCACTTCCCCGACCCACGTGACCACTTAAGTTGTCACGTGGGTCATTTTGTAAGCTGCTCGGTCCATCACAAAGTTTGTTCCCTCCTGCCGGTTCAGACCAAGCAGCTTGGGTGATGGCAGCCGATCTAATCCTTCCTCTAGCCACGTCATCATAGGAGAGCCAGTCCACATTTCTACTTGTTCGTTCAAAAAATTTTGAACTAATTTCTTTGAAAGGCAGCCGATCTAATCCTTCAGTATTCTGCTTGTTTGTATTGGTGTTTTGTTGGTGTTTGTTGTTTTGTAGTGCTGAGGTGCTTTCTTGTCACCTCCTTCTCTGTAATCTTTTTTCTTTTAATAAAGTTTCTTTTATTTACTCTTCAAAAAAAATGCTAAGGTGTTCTTTAATGATGATACATTGCATTTACACCTAGGTGCAGTGACAAATGAGTAAGAGTATCATCACTAGGATGCTCTCTATAAACTACATGCTGCAATGACACCCAATTGCAGTGATAAGTGAACAATGTTTTCTGCACTCTAATGGAACCTCAGAACTCTGACTAGTAAGATAATGGAAATAATTGATACAGTGAAAAGAAGATGCACTAATATAGCATGTTTAAAGAGATGAAATGGAAGGAAAAAAAGCTAAGAAGATCAATGAATACAAACTTATGCATATAAGAAGGTTAATAATAAATTTTTGCAATAACAAACACATTTTAAAAAGAAAGACAAACAATTACTTTCGAAAGTGGATCAAATAATAACCACATAGGTAGTTGCTGATAAAACAGCAACAATCAAGAAAAGGGCATTTTATTGTTTTAAAAATATCTAACAAGGCACCTAGGCATATTCTGTCCATTCCTTTAATGGAATGGTAACAATGGCTTATGTGATCATTGGATAATGTTGGGGGGGGGATTTGACCAAAGAATAAGGGGTACCAATAAAAAAGAATAGGGATTTGCTAGGCCAAACTATGGGGTGGGGGTCCTTGGGGTTTACCCTCATTTTTACTTCTTATTTTCCTTTTTGAAATATTTTTATTTGTACATAAGTCATAAAATAGAGTTGATTTCATATTTTATATAATATAAGAGCAAGCATTTTTTAAATCCTTGTAAGGAAGAGGCCATTTTGAAATGATGTAATCATTTTAAAAGCATCAATTTCATAATGATATAATTATTGAAATATCATGCCCTTTGTAATTTCTAAAATATTACTGAACATTTTCATAGATTAATATTTATGATGTTACAATTTTTTTACAATAAATTATACCAAATTTCAAACATTTCCATTCGACTAACATCTTAAACATTTTTCTTTCTTCCCACATTAACTATAGAATAGAATCTGAACAACATCTCCGCATTATCTTCCTTTTTTTGGTGGTCAGAAGAAAGAGGGCCTAAAGAGTATCATTATCTTCTTTCTTGTTTGATGTTTCTTCTTTCCCATCTTACCAAAAAACACTTAAAAGCAACGTGTAGATGTACTTTTGCCTCTAGAAGCTTTTATCGTGATATGTTTTACATATACCCTGAACTTTCAAAATCTACTTAAATATACCTTATTGATTGGCCCCGCGTAACATAAGTAGGACTGCTGTCACTGTGCTGTACTGTTTAGAACCATTAAAAGCGCAGTCCAAATATTTTCTTAATACCAGTTTTGCCTCTAAATGCTTAAAACTTGGACAAATCCTCTTCCTCCCTTCCCTCTTCCTCGTCCCAGAACAAACCAGAAAGAGGAAACTCCCTATTTCTCTCTCTCTCAACTAATTAGAGCTTGCCAGATTTGGGGAGCTAAGTTATTTTATCTCCCTTTGTATTCTTTTCCCTCTCTTCTCTTAATTTAATGAAGATGATGTTATTGATCAAAAAAAAAAAAAATTAGAGCTTGCCAGATTGAGGGCAGGCCCACACAAGGCACAACCATTACCAGAACTTCTATCTTGTAGCATGATTTTTTAGTGACCGCATTGCCACTTCTTGCTTTCAACTTGGAGTACAACCAAACTGAAAGATTTGTCCAGAACCATGATTCTGGTAGCAACACGTAAGTCTGAAAATAGATCAGGTCCATCAGGATAGACTTTGTTGATGTGATTATGGGTTTACAGGGGGAAAATTCTAACTCTGCTTTTGGTAGTTGCTGTTATAACCCTTTGTGAAGGCTGTAGATGATGACCCAGAACAGAAGTATACGCGTAGCACGTATTGTTCAGAAGTCTTCTGGTCTGGTAGGCTGGTAGTGTGGGGGAAAATGAAACAACACATATTTTACAGCTTGTATTCCAAGCAATTCCTTTCTGTTTCTAGATGCAAGGCCAGAGACCGTGGAATTGGGATTGACGTTCCGTGGTCTATGCCGGATTGACGTTCCAGTTGTGTGGGTCTGGGGATTTGGTGTTAGTAGCATGAAAAAGAAGAGGAATGATGATCTCTTTTCCTCTCTTTCTTGTTTTCAGATGTTCAGATTGACTTGTTCTGGGCCGCACTATTGGTGTTTGAAAAACCCAAATCCAATGTTTTCTGAAGTACTAATAATGATTAGCGACCATTCAACAACTGACCTCATGCCTCTGGTTGCACTGATGTGTCTAGCAGAGGTGAACGATGAGCACTATTGTAGCGTTGTTGTGCTATTGCAGATCCGAACAGTGGTGTTTGCATTGTTAAAGAGGAGGAAGAGGAAAAGAAAGAAAGAAAGAAAGAAAATAGCATATTTTGAAAATTTAATGAATAGTTAAGGATATTTTTGTCTTTTAAGATTTAATCGGTTAGACTTAACCTTTGAAAGGTCGATGAGGTATATATAAGTAGATTTTGAAAGTTAGGGGTACATTTACAGGGTATGTATAAGTAATTAACCCTTTTTGTAATTGCAATGCATCTTTTTGAACAAGTTCATTTGGTGCTTATGAGAGAATGAATTCAAGTGTATGAAGATAGTTATAGGGGTAAATGGGTTGTTTGGCAATGACATTTTTCTTCAGTTTTTCTCTTCCATTCAGTGTGATGATGCCTTGCTATTCTGTATGGCTTAAGTTTTGGCATGGTATTGGCTATTTTTAAGTTCCAAAGAGATCGTTGTGATGCTGTTACATATGATTTTTATCTTCCTTTTTTGGTTTGTTGCTATTGCATAGGAACTTATTGCTCTTTTCTTTTTCTTTTCATAGCTTAAAGCTTTGACATCTTTGGCTGATCTTTTTAAGCAAAAATCGGGAGAGGACATTGTACAGATCATACCACAATGGGTATGCATTTTTTCCTTTTATTAATCAGAGGAATTTAATGAACACAGGAACTTTCTTTTTTCCTTCCATTAATCAAAAAAAAAAAATCTCTCATGATTTTCCTTCTATGAATTGTATGCTAAGGATTTGTTGCTTCATGCTTTACCATTTAGGGTTCCTGAAAAAAATTTCAGTTGCAGTATCTAAATTTTTTCTGAAACACAATTAAACTCAACTCAACTAAGCCATGTCCCAACTATATATATGCGGTTGGCTACATGTATCCTATCCCATCATTCCTCTCTGTTCTGTGTCATGACCATTGTTAAAGTGTAGCCCTTAACTCATTTCTCTCTACTTCAGTTCATTTTCTTTGTGGTCTACCCTTAGCTCTTCTAGACCCTTAAACTTGTAACTCTTTTTTTTTTTTTTTTTGAGAAAAGGTAAAGTATAATTGTATTAATCAACCGGTCCTTTGTACAAAGAGAAGCTCTGTACAGAAACTTAAACAAAAGGACATTTATCAAAAAAAAAAAAAAACTTAAACAAAAGGACCTCAAAAAAAGGCCACCCTCAAAAAAGTACAACCAGTCGTTTCCTCTTTAAAACCTGTCTGTATAGACAACCAGCTCCTAACAAGCTCTGTAGCCTTGTTAATGACCTCAGCTTCAGAGGAGGCTTTTTGATCAAAAGTCCTACTGTTCCTTTCAGTCCACACTGCCCACAGAATTGCCAAAAGATTCGAGAACCAGCATAATTTCCCCTTCTTTGTCATCCCAGTATGTGCCAAGCCTCCAAGCATGCTTTAACTGAGGCAGGCATGCTCTACCTTACCTTTAAGCTCTTTAGAAAATATTTCCAAATCACTGTTACAAACTTGCAGTGCAAAAACAGATGGTTAACTATTTCCATCTCCACACTGCATGGACAGCACCTCAAGTCATTGTACATAAAACCTTTCTTCAGCAGCATCTCTTTTGTGAGGCATTTCTCTAAAACTTCCACCCAAACTAAAAATTTGAGTTTAGAGGGTGCCCACTGTCCCCCAAATGGCCCGGCTAGGAAAAGGCACTTCATTTCCTCATACTAAAAATCTGTAGAAAGATTTAACTGAGAACACTGCTGATCTATTCCACTTCCACACTTGTGAATCATGACTTTGCAAATTCAGAGTCTGATCTTGGAGCAGAGCTAGGAGACTTCCTACCTGTTAATCTCCCAATCATTAAAGTCCCTTCTGAAAGTGGGGGTCCAGCTAATGTTATCTCCCCTCTGCACAAAAGAATCAGCTACCAGCACCTCTTTGTCAACTGCCAGATTAAACAGAGTGGGAAACAACTCTTTGAGAGATCTCTCCCCAGTCCAAGGATCTAGCGAGAATCTGATCCTTCCGCCATCTCCAATTTTAAACCTGATGCAACGTCTGAACTGGGTGGTGGCTCTACAGATTCCTTTCCACAGGTTACAGCCATAAGTCAAAAGAAGAGGACCACTGTCCCAACCATTATTGTCCAGCCCAAATTTCTCAAGCCCCCCCTTTTTTATTGGAAATGGTAACTTTCATTAAAGATATCAATTAATACATCATACGCTGTCAACCACTAAAAATGTTTGACCCCAATCAGCTTCAGGAATTACAATACAGCCCAAAAGAAATTTTCCCTGAAGGTCCCCTGCTTTGCCAAACTATCTGCCACAGAGTTGGCCGACCTCCATACCCATTTGAATATTACCCCAGCATCCCTTGCCAAGTAGATTATTTCCCTTATTTGTTGTCTAAAAGTCCATACACCCAACCTTTTTGTCTGCAGCCACCTATTAACAGTTTAGAATCCCCATCCACTTCAAAGTTCTGAAATCCCCATCGCTTGGAAAATCTCAGGCCTTGTAGGAGAGCCAAAATTTCAGCTCTCAGAGAGTCTCCCACTCCTATATGACCAGAAAATAGTGCCACCATTCTGCCCTCCCCATCCCTGAAAACTTCCCCAGCTTCAGAGGGTCCTGGATTACCCAAGGAGCTTCCGTCAAAGTTTAATTTTACCCTTTGTTGTGCTGCAGGTGTCCAATAAGGCTGAAATAGAAGCTGTCTGGTTGAGGAGTTTGCCACTGCTGACCACCCCCTTAGAATATCATCCATTGAAAAGTCCTTGAATAAGTCATTAACTTTCAACCAGTGTATAACTTTGATGGCTACACAGTCAATGACTTGTTCTGTTGATTTTTGTACCCCTTGGAATATTTTGTTATTTCTTTCCTCTCATAAAGACCAAAGAATGGCCACTCTTGTTAACCTCCACATCACTTTACCCCTTTTCTTTGGTAGTAGGAAGAAGCTTGGGTTAAAGAGGCTTGCCACATCTAGGGGAGGGACCATCTACAACCAAATAAGGAAGAAAACCAATTGGTCCAATTCCACACAAAAGAAGTAAAGGGACAAGAAAGCAAAAGATGTGTAATTGTCTCCCATAAAGACCAAAGAATGGCCGCTCTTGTTGCCCTCCGCATCACTTTACCCCTTTTCTTTGGTAGTAGGAAGAAGCTTGGGTTAAAGAGGCTTGCCACATCTGGGGGAGGGATCCACCTACAGCCAGATAAGGAAGAAGACCAATTCCACACAAAAGAAGCAAAGGGACAAGAAAGCAAAAAGTGTCTAATTATCTCACTGTTTCCCAAGCAAAGGCAACAAGCATGAGGAGAGAGGCAGTGATTTAGTGTCCTTTTTCTGTAAATTGTCCAAAGTATTAATTTTTTTGGAGCACCACCTCCCAACAAAAGGCTCTTTTTTTTGGGGGTACAGGATTACACCAAACTTCCTTTGTAGGAAAAGAACCTACTGGGTCCGAGGAATGAAGGAGGGCGGAGAAAAAAGAAGCACAAGTAAAGGAGCCAGAAGGGGACACTGACCAAATTCTACTATCCTGATAAGAAGGATCTAGGAAAGCAGTACCAAGAAGGGAGATAAGATCATCTACATTCTACTCTACCCATTTCAGATTCTCTTAACCCTAGGTCCCAGGAGTTTTCATTAACATGCACGAAAGAGGCCACTCTCCCTTTGTTGAGGGACATGGAAAAGATATGTTGAAATCTGACTTTAAAAGGAGTGTCCCCATTGCCAGACACCCTCCCAGAAATGTACTTTGTTACTAGCACAAGCATTATACCTGACCAGTGGAAGGAAAGAAGGTAGCAAGCTGTGGATTGCTTTCCAAGGAGAAGCCCGTGTTGCCCTAGGATCAAGACCAACATCCCTTCCGTTGTCTACCATGCCATGAATGCTTGCAATTACATTATGCCACAAGTTCTCTTGTTCCAAAGAAAACCTCCACAACCATTTACCCAATACTGCCAAATTCCTCAGCTTGATGTTTCCTATCCCTAAGCCTCCACTATCCCTCCTCTTCCTCTTTGACACCACCTCCCACTTTACCAAATGATCCCTTTTTGTGTCCCCTGTTTCCCACAAGAAATCTCTCATCAATTTCTCTAGCTTACTGCCCACTTTTGTGGGGATCTTAAAGGTTGAGAGGTAATAGACTGGCAAATTAGTCAAGGTTGATTTTATTAGGGTTATTCTACCCCCTAGAGAGATGTAGTTTCTCTTCCAACCTGCAAACCTTTTTGTGAACCTTTCCACTACCAGATCCCAAAAGCTATCAGAATTTGGATTCCCCCCAAGGGAAGTCCAAGGTACTGTAAAGGCCAATCTCCTACCTCACAACCCAACAACAGCTAGGCTTTCTACCTCCCCTCTCTCTTTATTTAACCCTGCTACACAACTTTTGCTCCAGTTTACTTTGAGTCTGGAGACCTTTTCAAAAAGTGTTACCAACCTTTGTAGATTAGTCATTTCCTCCCTTTCCCCTTCACAAAAGATAACAATATCATCTGCAAACTGCAGATGGGTAACCACCACATCATTCCCCCCAACTCTCCAGCCTCGTAGCATGTTGTTCACATCAGCCCTTGATATCAGATCACTAAACACAGATGATACTTGTGCAAGTCTTTGTGGATGGGCTTGGTAACACTTTTTGAATGGAATGGACAAACTCTAACCCCACCACATCATTCCCTATTTGACCCCAATTCACTAGATGATACTTGTGTGAGTCTTTCTATCCCACCCATAGAAAATCTCTCGTTTTTTTTTTTTCTAAAACCTCTGCCACCTCCGAAGGGATTGGGAAAAGAGAAAAAATAGGTAGGCAGGCTGGCTAGAACACTTTTGATAAGAGTTCCCTTCCTACCTTTGGAAAGATATCTTGCTTTCCAAGTGGCCAGTTTTTGATCCATCCTCTCTAAGATTGGGTTCCAAATGGCTTTTGATGTGCACTTGGCACCAAGTGGCAGCCCCAAATAACTGGTGGGTAGAAGACCTACTTTGCAGGCCAAAAGATCAGCCAAACTCTGTATGTTAGAAACTTCACTCACAGTTATCATTACACTTTTTGCTAAGTTCACCTTTAACCCAGAATGCCAGAAACAATTTCAACCAGAAACGGAGATGCTTTAGATTAAGCACTTGTTCCTCCGAAGCCTTACCGAAAAAGTTTCATCAGCATACTGCAAAATAGGAATGGAAGTATGTTATGGACGCATTCGTGGGGAAGAAGTACCGCCGCCGGCAGCAGCAGTAACGTGGGACCCTCATCAGATTATCTAGCTAGCCACAGTTCATCTTACCTTATCTTTATCTTATCTGCTTTCTTACTCTTATCTTATCTGGATTAGTATAGAGTC